CTGCTTGGAGCAGTTAATTTTATTACTATAGATTTATGAGGTATCGCCTAAGATAATTTGTTTTCTATTGTGCATTCCTAGCATGGCTGGAGTGCCAGGCAGTGGGTGTGGGAGTGAGCCTGAGGAGTCAGGGCAAATTCATCTCAAGTCACTGGAACCAACCTAATAAAATGTATTAATCACTGGCTGGCTTTCATCACAAGGAGCTGACGTATGAGGAAGGAATGTGATAAACAATTTGATCTCAGATAAAGGTGGGCAGTGAGGCAGGCTCTGTGTGCCTGTTGTAAGGCAAGCTTACAGAGCTATTTTAGTCACAAGTTCTGTACAAGCTGTGATTCAGACCTGATCAAGCTATTCGTGGCACGTTCAGTTTCTGAGAAGTTGAAAGACAGGTTGGGTTTCCTGATCTCTGAACTGCTGGGGAGGGTTTTCTGGCAGGCCTTTTTTAAATTTTGTTTGTTTTGGTGTAGAAATTCCATCACTTATGTCCACCATGAAGTGTAGTGGGATTCTGCTGTGATGTTGCTTTCCTATCCCAGGTTTCCCACATTATATGTGGAATGGGATTCCATACAGCCCTCCTGGGAGTTCAGAGTACTTCCAAGAATAAAGCACAGAAAATTTCTGTCAGCATAGGTTGACTGTTATTAATGATCCACCTAATATTTTATTGCATAGTTCAGGGCTTATGCTGATTCCATCTTTAACATAAAGTAGTCTTTATTTACACTGTCAGTGCCAGCTCAGAGGAGTGATTGTTAGATGCACTAGATTGTAATCTGGTCTTGTCTTGGAGTTGATGAGAGACTGGACAGTTTTCTTGATGGGTGGGGAAAACTAAAAAGGAAAAAGAGAAGCTTTATTTTCAAAATAATAAGAAGGTATTGCATTCTTTAAAAATAAATTCTGTACTTACAAGCTTTCTTTTTGATACCTTCTGCAATTTTGATACATTAATCTTGTGTCCCAGTTACATTTTCCTACAAAGGCATTTTCAGCAGCAGTGCATGCACTCGGATACTCCATTTCCAGAATATTAGGGACCAGTGTGACCTCAAATTGCTTTTGCCTTCCCCTTGATAAGTGAGTGGTGCAGACAAACCAGTGCTCGCATGAGGGCATCTGATGTTGACAAGTGCAGAGATATCGTAGAGCACTTACAAGTCCCTGTGAATCCAGGGAAATTCACTCCATACCTTTCTGCTGATATTGCTGATCCTGAGGCAGAATGTGTGAATTCACAAATGCTGCATCAGAGAGGAGGAATCTGACAAGGGGAGCTTGTTGTATTTTATCTCCATGGAACACACTCCATACCAACAGCTCTACACAAACACAGGAGCAAAGCTCAGCAAGTAAACCCCAGGGCATGGCAACTTAGCTGCTTTATTCATAACAGGAGTATTTAAATAGCACTCTTGTGATTAAAATGTTATTTCTTATCCTGAAATTGTGACAGTTACAGGATTTTAATTTTGGGGTGGTTTTTTGTTTATTTGTTTGTTTGATTTTTTAAAATTTTATTTTATTTTATTTTATTTTATTGAGGGGGAAATCAACAGTTGGGTTAGTAATGAGTTTTTGTGTTCTGCTTCTGCCTTTGCTTTCTTTTCTGCTGTCAGCAAACCTAGAAGCATTTTTTTCTTCCCCCAGTCCTCTTCCAGGAACCTTTAGCTTTGCTTTGATGCAATATTTACTTACCTATCTGTGACAAAATGAATTGATTGTTTTTAAAGTTCATATATGAGATCTTTTGCAATAAAATATTTATAGTTTCCTGGGGTTGGGGTTCTTTCTTTCGTTTTGTACTTTTATTTTGTCTGGCTTTGTGAGAAAGGTTGTCTTCATATCATGCTGCCTATCAAAGAAACATTTGTTTCAGGTGTGTTATAATTCCAGTTATAAACTTGGTCCAGTGATAAACTCATGAAATTTTCTGAAAATACTTTCTTAGCACATAAAAGCCGATAGTGATACATTAATTTAAACTCTCTGAGGTTTCTAACTAAAATAATGAAAAGCTTTTAAAGCTTTTTCTTCCCCTTCATTTAGTAATCCATTTGTGTCCAATGACTCTGAATGACTTTGAAATTCCCCTTGTTTAAACAGGCCAGTTCTGACACCTCATACTTGCACTCGTGTGTGGGGTTTAATGATTTAACGCTGCTGCCCGAAGTGCTCACAGGAAGCCACGCTGGTGCTGACCTGTCCAGGTCGATAGGTAACACTTCAGGGCTTCTTTACATGAAGGAATTCCTGAACATTTCTTGTTTGGTTTTCCACTACTCGCTGAGTATTACTGGTCCAGATTTTTGGGGAGGAAAAAAGGGCAAATCAAAGGAATAATTGTTGCAAAATTTACTCTAAACATCGTTTGGTACAGATTGGGATTTTGATTTTGTCATATTCTTAGATAAAAATCTCTGCTTAATAAACCTTTTAAAATAAAATCTTTGGTGTTAAGCTTATCTAGAAAACATGTTATGTCTATTTCTGAAGGAAACTCTGCCCTCTGCTAGTGACTGTCACCCAGTGACATAAATGAGACATAAGTGAGACTTTTAAGTGTCAGCACTATTTATGAAGAAAACTCTGTCCTCTGCTAGTGACTGTCACCCCGTAAATGTGACATAAGTGAGACTTTTAAGTGCCAGCACTAAATAAGGAGCACTTGTGCCTTTTGCCACAAAGGAACATTTTTACACTAATGGTGCTGGATAGACCTCAAAATTAAAGTGAAGGAGCCTCTGTGGAGTCCCCAGTTTAATTTTTATAAACACCAGC